CCCCCCCCCCCCCCGCTCCCTCCTGGCCCCTCTGGCCTCGCCCCCTTCCTCTCCACTGCTCCTGTCCCCCTGCTTCCCTGCCCAGCTCCTGCCTTGCCCTCGCCAGTCCCCTGGCCACTCAGCCCTCTCTCCTGCCTGTCTGCTCCCTCCTGGCCCCTCTGGCCTCTCTGGCCTCGCCCCCTTCCTCTCCGCTGCTCCTGCCCCCCTGCCCCCCTGCCCAGCTCCTGCCTTGCCCTTGCCAGTCCCCTGGCCACTCAGCCCTCTCTCCCAGCCTCTGCCTCTGCTGCTCCACTGCTCTGCCAAGGGGCAAGAGCCAAAAACAAATAAATAAGAAATGAATTGACGTAAAACTAGGCCAGAATAAACTTTCTGGTCTTCATGGTGCCATAAGACTCTTCATCACTTTTGATTAAAACTATAATTGCGGCTAGTTTTTGTCTCTCTGTTTTTTCCTTGCATTTGCTTCCTTTTTATATTTGCAGAATACTTTTTCAAAAGTAGTTTAGTGGAATGTTTTTTTCCTGTTTAGTTCATCGATCCTACATTGTAATTCATACTGATTATTTTAACTGCGGTTTCATTTGTTGGATAATAGTTTTATTATTGTTGCTTGAGGTGCATGTTGTCAGCTCTCTCGGGGCACTTTTGGCAGTATCACATTTGTGTGTGTGTGTGTAACACCCCCCATTCCCTCCTCCCTGAAGTTATGCACCACCATACGTCTGTTGCACACATTCTGCCTCCAAGGCACAGTCATGTTGCCTTGCAGGGACGGTCCCCTCACCGTTGTTTCCCTGCCTTCGGGGGCAGACCCAAATGAGCTCCTTGCCTCTCCAGGTGCTGCTGGCTTTGGTGTCTCTGCGGTCATTCTGGACCAACTCATGCGGAATCTCCGTTTTTTCCTTGCTGTCCAGCTTGGTCGTGGAATCCACAGACCACATGATGCCCAGCCTGAGCACGCTGTTCTCCATCCATCCTCAAAAAGGAAATTTGGGTGCCAGCGACCGCCCTACGCCAGTCCAGATCATCTTCCGCTCAAAGAGGGAAGTGAAGGTGGATGACAAGCCCATTCTGCACTGCCATGTAAGACAGCGGCACCCGGTGCCTGTGAAGAGGCTTTGATGCCCTGGGGAGGTGGCATGAGGCGGGGTGTGGGTCAGCCGTTTCATCTTGCTGCGATGGTTCCCCCAGATTCGTTCTCTGTTGGGCAGGGAGCTCTGGAGCTTCCTTAAAGCTGAGGGGCCTAAACTTTCTGCCTCCCACCTGGGGGACAAAGGCCTTTGCCAGCTAAAGCTGGACCTTTCCCTGACAAGGGAGAATAGTTTTATGTCGCTTGCATTTCATGTTTCCTTTAAGAAGCAAAGTGTTGGGCAGCCTTCTCAAGCTGGTGCCCTTCAGCTGTTTTGGATTACAATTCCCAGCATCCTCCTGCACCCCCCACCAGCATGCTGACATGAAGCAACTCACCTGGAGGGCACCAGGCTGCAGAAGACAGTTCCTGCTTGCATAATCTAAACTACACAACACAAAAGGAATGGGGGATGGGGGGGGAAGGGAGAAGGCTTGAAAGGAGAGAGGAAGAGGAGGAGACGTGTGGGTCCAGTGCCTCCGGAGAGCAACAGAGTAGGCCCTGCTTCCTCCTCTTCCTCTGCTGTGGCCAGGTGATGGTGGCCCACCGCCAGCAGGCCGAGGTGGCATTCCCCTTTGCAGGCTGTGCTCCTTCAGGCGGCAGGTGAGGGGGAAAGGAGGGGAGGAAGAGAAATGCAGAAGTGCCACCACGAGGGAAAGGGTTCTGGTCATGTGTTGGGGCTCAGCATTCCCACAAAAGTCTCAGGAGAGCAGGTGACAGCTGCCGGCCCGTCTTTCGTCCTCCGTCCAGGTGATTGAGCCCAGCGTCTGCGAAGGAGGGGAGATCATCGCCACCATCCCGATTCGCGTCTCCGTGCAGGCCATGTTTGCCAAGTACAGCATCACCCCCCCGTCGCTCATCAACTTTGGGCCTTTGGTGATAGGCTCACGCAAGACCAACAGTTTCACCATCGAGAACAAAGGCGCCCTTGATTTTAAGTTTGGCCTCTGCAAGGTGGTCCGAGATGTGCCGATCCCGCTGCGGAGAGGGTGAGGGGGGACCTTCCCCCAGGAACGGAGAGGGCCACAGGGCTGCGGTGGGGCTGCCCCCCACACCCCTCACAGAGCTGCAGCAGCTTGTGCAGAGGGGCTGGTCCAGTTACTCTGCCAGCGCCAGGGCTCTGCTGCTCCTCTGGCCGCAGCACGAGGATGAGCCACATTCTCACGCGCGGCGGGCCCAGCGCTCCCACTACACATGTCCGTTCTTCCTGGGTGACTGCCTTGTCCCGTGTCATCCCCATTCCGCTTGCAGGAACTCTCACGTCAAAAGCTCCCGTTCTCGCGAGGCCGACCTCAGCCGGCCGAACGCCCTGCTGACGGTGGGCAGGCAGAGCAAGCGAGCCGATTCCCTGCAGAAGGATACGAGCCTCATGGCTCAGGTGGGTGGACCTGCCCATCCTCCACCGCCCTGGCACCTGGCCTGCCCCTGAGCCGCCGCCTCCCTTTTGCCCACCCACCTGGTGAGGAGGTGGCTGCGCTTGCGAATGCACAAATGCGGCTTTTCTGTTTTTGAGCACAGGTTGTGCACAAAGGCACACACTCGTTCTTACTGTGATGTGTCTGCACACCCCATCTGAGTGCTGCACAGACTTAGGGCAGTGCTGTGATGTGACTGGGGGGTGCTCAAAATAATAGAGTTGGAAGGGGCTGGTTAAGGCCATTGGGCTCAATCCCGGCACTATGCAGGACTCCCAGGAAAGCCAACATAGGTTTATGGACACACACATGCAGGCCGAACCGAAGGCCAGGGCTCACCGTGTTAGCATTTGCAACGGGCTCCCATCCCCCATTGGACTTCTGGCGGGCCACAAGGGTTCCTGCAGCGGCGATTGGCCCTCGGACTACTTTCCAGATTTGCTCTCAGCACAGACAAAGTGGCAGTTCCACACGCAAAACCTGCTCCCTGCTCCCCTTGTCTCACGTGGGGAAGAGCGGGAGCCCCCTCTGCCTTCTCAGGCCCTCCCAGCACCCTCCGAGGTGTCTCGCCAGAATGGCCCCAGCTCTCAACTGTCTGCTGTCCAGTCGCCTCCAGGCTTCCACAACAATAGTTTAGGAACGGCTGACACTTACGGGCCAGAGCAGCAGGACCTGTTGGCCCCGGTGTGCACTGAAGCTCCGGCTCAGAGCCCCTCCTGTGGTGGCGCAGCAAGGGGAAACCTGGCCTAGCTCGGTGAGGGCCGCCTCCGACTGTCCGTTCTCCACAGGCTCGTTTCTCCCTGGGCATGTTCACCGTGTCTCCCGGATTTGGAACGGTGGCTCCAGGAGGCCATCAGGTCATCACTGTGGACTGCTTGGCCGATCCGGCTGGGAAGTGTGAGGAGTACATGATTATTGAGATCACTGACAGGGACCCAGAAGACAACCCTGGCGGCATTCCATATGCGCTGGTGGCGGAAGCGTGCATTCCAGGTAGGCGGCAGGCAGAGCCGCTGCAGCAGCAGGGGGAGCTGGCCCCGTTCCTCCTCCACGTGGCTCACGGAGTAGCATTTTGCCCGCGGACGCCCTCGAGGTGCAGCCCTCCCGCCCCTGAGGGCCCCCTGCAGGAAGACCTGATGCTTGGGCGGGCGGGTGAGGGGACCTGCTGGGGTCGTTTCTCCCTCTCAGCCCCCGCTTCCCTTCTCTGGGCCCTCTGAATCCGCCTGCCGGGAAACGGCTCCCCTCCACTGCCGCTGCCGCTCCTTCCCAGGCTTCGTGACGGACCACCTGGGGACCATCTTTGAGGAGCACCGCATCTGCAACAGCAGCAGCCTCGGTCAGGTGCTGAAGGCCGCCGGGTGCGAGGGCGTGTTTGTGGCGGACGAGAACAAGTTCCTCTTTAACGATGTCCTCGTTGGGCACCAGACCACCGCCCGTTTCAAGATCTTCAACACCGGCCGGATCCCCTGCGACGTCGTCTTTACCGTAAAGCCAGTCTCTGCCAAGGTGAGGAGAGGGAGCAGGTGCTGCTGCCGTCGCCACTGCCCTTGTGCTGCCCCTCAGATTCTGAGAGGGATGGGCTTCACTGAACCCAGGGAGGGAGCAGGTAACTTGGTGGCACAGGATAGTGTCAGCTGTCTTGGAAATTCACAAGCCAGGTTAAAACTGGAGGAGGAGCTCCCTGTCGGCTCCTCCCGTCCCTGCAGAATGGCCCCTTTGCTAAATGGGTGACTGACTGGGGCCTTCCCCAGGAGCACGGGCTGCCCTTGGCCAAGCTGGCCCTGCAAAGACTGCCTGTTCGGCCCAAGAAAGGCCTGTTGCAGCTGTAGGAAGCGTCCCGTCCACCTTCACAAGTAATTTGGGAGAGGGAGTTGTGCTACTTGTCTGAGGGGTGGGTCAGATTTCACGGCTGTCCTGCTGCTTCCTCAGGCCACCGTTCGAGTCAGCGACATCTTTGAGGTCCACCCTGTGCGGATGTGCATCACCAGCCGCTCACACGCCTTTGCAACACTGACCTTTTCGCCGCAGAGCATGCAAAACTACCAGTGCGTTTTTGAGGCCTCTGTTGATGCGATGCCCAGGTGACTCGGCACGTCCGAAAGGGGGAGAGCAGAACTCCGGTGAGGACTTCTGGACACACGCAGGAGACCGACGTTTTCTCATGACTCTTACTTGCAGTGTGGCTGCCAAAACCAGAAGTCTGTCCTTTGAGGTCACAGGGGATGGCAACCTTCCTCGGATCACCGTTGTGCGCCCTGTGCTCCGCAACAAGAAAGGGAGCCCGCTTCTGCTCTTCAGGAGACTCCTCGTGGGGCACACGGAAACTCTCCCCTTGGTCCTGAAGAACAGTGGCAGCGTGCTGGCCCAGGTAGCGAGGCCAGGAGCAAAGGCCCTGGGAGCCGCTGCATGCAGAGAGCACCACCTGGCGATGCTGCGACACACAGCAGGGGGGCAGGTTGCCATGCTGTCCCCTTGCCCTGGGCCCGCGGCGGGGGCTGCTCGGGGGCTTCCGCACCCCCAGTCACCCACTCCTCGTGCGTTTCCCTGGTCCTGTGCAAGCAGCCCGTGCCTGCGTCACCAGAAGGTGCAGGGCGCTGGGGCTGGGGTGGGCGGCTGCACCCGGGCCTGCATGGGACTGGCCAAGCAGAAGCTGAGGGGGCCTCTTGGGAAGCTTCCCGGGGCGGAGGCAGACTTCAGCAGGCCAGCCGAGGAAGCGGCACGCTGAGCAGCCTTCTCCAGTGCGATGGGCTGCAGCTCCCGTGAACGCCAGCAGGGCTGTTGGCTGGGGAAGAATTCCAGGAGAGCAAGGGCTGCAGGTTGGCAGCCATGGCCATGAAAGCATTTGGATGCTGAAAGTGCCCGGAGCAAGCAGTCAGGCAAAGTTCTACTTAGCTTGCAGCATTCTAGGCTGCGGCCTGGACCTTGGTGTTCCCCGGGACTCACTGTTCTGGTGCTCCTCCTTTCCTCAGCTGTACCTCGATGTGTCTGATGAAAATGGTGCCTTCACGCTGAAGCCCAGGCCCTCCACCCAGTGCATTTACGTGTCTGCTCAGAATGAGGACAGTGAATCCAGTGAGGGAGGTAATGCTGCACGGCTGCTCGGGCAAGAGCAGGCAGCAGCGGCCGGCTGTGTGCCATGGCCAGCCGCCTTTTCCTGCTCCTGGCCCAGGGCTCAGGGCCAGGCGTGCCCTGGCCGCTACCCAGGGTGTCTGCAGAGCAGTGGCGGAAGGAAGGGCTCCTAAGCCGAAAGACCTGTCATTGGGGAAAAAAAGGGACGTGACCTCTCTACCACCGGGGCTTGAGAGGAAGGCATTCCTTTCCATTCTCCCTCTTCCTTTGTGCCTTCACAGTCAGGAAGCCTCACACGGTCTCCCTGGCCCTGCACAACGGAGAATCAGCAGAGTTTGATGTGATTTTCCAACCCAGCCTGACACAGCACATGGAAGGGCTGATCCACCTCTCTATTACGGACAACCAGTACGAGGAGACCAGCATCCAGATGGTGGGCGAAGGCTACCAAACAGACGTCACCCTGGACAATATCCACAGCCTGCTGACCCAGAGTGACCTGGAGAGTGCTGAGGGATGCCTGGAGGACAGTGCAGGCGAGGGTGAGAGCTGGCTCCAGAGCTGCCGCGTTGATTCCTCGTTCTCCAGACCTCTTTTCCGGGTGGCTTGTGAGCACAGCAGCAGCCTTGGGGTGATGTTGGAGATGCAGCCCAGACGCTGCTTCTCAGAGGGCCCCAACGCGCTGCTTCTTGCGGCTCTTCACCTCTGCACCGCCCCTTTTCATCTGGTCTCAAAAGCTTGCTCATCACCTTGCGGCATTTTACCTGGTTCTGATACAAGTGCTGGGATTCCTGGGTGGACTCATGCAGGATGGGCATCCAGCAGGAGCACCTCAGTAGGGGAGGCTGCCCTGTGCCAGCAGATTCTGGCCTTCCTGCGGGGCACCCTTGCAGAACGCGGGGTCCCCCGTTCACCAGAGAGCACCGCCACACTGCGCGTGCAAAGGGCATTTGCTGTTGCTGGGGCACACGCACGTGAATTCTGTGTTGACAACGGGATCCTGCATCACATGTGCAGTGGTGTGGATCCTGTGTCATGCGTGAATGCAGTTGTGTACAAGGGGTCGGGGAGCTGACCCATGCAGGGAAATGGCCCTTTAACTGTCGTTCCGTTTCGTTCTTCATCCATCTTCTGAACTGGTTTTTCAAAAGTAATTCCCAGCTCCTTCATGGGACCCAAAGCAAGGCCCCTGCCCCCCGACGCTGCCCTTCCCAGGCGTGAGGGCTGCTGGCGGCCAGCCGAGCCAGCGGGTTCTGTCTGCGCGGGGCCACGATCCCAAGGTGCCTGGTCTCTTCCTCTGCAGCTGCCCGAATGGATTGCGTCCAGTTCAGGGACTGCCACATTGGGACGCCCTATCAGGCCACGTTCACCATAACCAACCACAGCAAGTCAGGCGTGATGCGGTTCGAATGGCCGGCTCTGGGTCCGTGCCACTTCTCCCCACAGGTGGGTGGCGGCCACTGGCCACTTCCTCTGTGCCTGTTGCTGGAGCTCCTGGCAGCCCCAGCGTTCGCTCCCTGCTCCCCTGCCTCGTGCCACAGAGGCAAACGACTCTTGCAGGCTGCCTGGTCACCTGTGAAGCAGCCAGGCCAAGTGCGTAGTGCAGAACAGGCACACTGGGTTTGGAGTGGTGCCTCTCCCCAGGACAAAGGCCGGCTAAGCCATGAGCCGGCCCTCTGGCCCCACGTTCAAATGGGTGAGCGCTGATTTCCATGCTGCCGCTCTTGCGAAGGAGTGTCTTTTTTAAAGCGTGCCTTTGATTTGTGTGCTTACTCTTGGTCGAACAATGACATCATAAAAAGGGAAGTTCTCTTGAACAAATCGGCTACAATAGTGCTGCAATTGCCTAATGTGTCCCTGCTTTTTAATCTGGAGATCATTGGTGGAGGTAATGCTGTTGTCCACAGAAGTGAAAGAAAATATTTCCACGCAGCGAAGAGTCGGCCAGAGCATCCGGTCAGCTGTGGGGGAGCCTGCTTTTTGTAATGAGAGGAGCACCTGTGGGGAGCAGATGAAGGCCTCAGGCTGGCACCTCCCCTCCCAGTGTGCAGGCGGCATCCAGGCTCCTCCGGGGAAGCCTGCCTGGCAGGCAGCTCCGCTGGTTGGCAGGGCTGTTTCCCACCTGGGCAGAGGGGCCGCGTGGTCTCCCAGCCCAGCCCAGCCCAGCCCAGGCAGCCCTTTCCTGCAGAGAAGCCTTGATACGGGCTGTACTCCCCCCACCCACGCGAGTACAAGGGCGAGGGCAAACGGGAGCTGTGCCTGGGAGGCAACGGGTAAATTCATGGTGAGGAAACGCCCGCCTTCTCCTTGGCTATCAGAAGCAGAAGCTTGCCACTGCCCGACATCCGGCGCTCTCTGTCCCCTAGGTTGGCCATCTGCACGCTGGGTGCACCAAGAACATCATGCTTACCCTAAAGTCCAGTGTCCCTGTCACACTGAACGAGCAGCTGGTGAAGTGCAAGGTGACCCGGATCGCCTTCCCGTTGCCTGTCGACCAGGTCCCTGACTGGGACGACCGCCTGCACACAGTCAAGTGGGTGGATGCCCCGAAGAGCAGCACGGCCACGCGCCCAACCAAGAGGAAGGTACAGATCTGGAAGTGGGAGACACCCGCGGCAGCCACCGGGCTGGGGAGGACCATGAACGGCCTGAGCTCTGGAGGGCGCCCTGAGCAGTTGCCACTGATCTAGAAACTTCTGAGGGGTCCCCCTCGTGCAGCAGCTTTTCTACTGGGCTACTCATACGGTTGGGTGAATGCGCGAGGGCCCAAGGCTGCTCCTGCAGCCTGGCATTCCCCGGGCTGCCTGCAGAATGGCTCAGCTCCGCGTGCCAGCGCCGGGCGACTGGGGAGGACCACTCTGGGCTCCTCACGGGGCCGCCTCCTGAGGCTCTGTTTGTGGGCAGGTGATTGAGATAGACCCGGAGCCGGCCCACGTGACTCTGGAGGAAGGTGGCCGAGAGCTGGAGCTTCGGGTGAGCGCCACCGTGGACTACGCCCAGTACAAGATGGAGGTGGACACGGTGCACTTTAAGGACACGCTGCTCTTCCAGGCGAGAGTGTTCAGGTGGGAAGCAAGCGCCTGCTGGGGGCACGGGCTGGTTTCGGGCTGGCCTCCTTGTGCTTTCGTGCCTGATTTGTTTCCGGGGAAGCAAGGCGGGTTCTCCTCGCCTCTAAGCTGTGAACCTGAGGCAGCCTGCACTAGCCAGATCCCTTTCTCCATGTCGAGAGAGGCACACGGCGCACTGCCTTTCTCAGCACGGAGAAGGACGGAGCAGGCAAGACGATGACTTTGTGGATGTGGCCATCCCAGCCGCAGCCAGGTGCATGCACCTCCTCCCTGGTGGCTCTGCACCCCTGCCCTAAGCCTCTGCAAAGTTGCGGGATGGCTCCAGCAAGGGCACTCGGGGTGCCGCGGGGCCAGCCGACCCCCAGGGTGCAGCACTGGACCCTGAGGCCCATGAGCAGGGCTGGTTTGCCTCCGGCTCAGGCCGGGAGGGGACTGGGTGCATTGGGCAGACATGCGATGTACGCCAGCACGGCCCATAAAGACCCGTCCACTTGTGTCGGTTTCTGCGCATCCTGGCGTTCTCTCACTCTGCCTGCCTCTTGTGCTCTCAGAGTGGAGCTGTCCAACACGGGAAACGTCCGGCTGGAATACGCTTGGAGAGCGGTCATGGAGGAGAGCGGGAGGGCCGTCAACTTTGCTGCAGATCCCTTGCCAAGCAACCCAGAAGGTATGGCTGGCAGGCAGCCCCAGCCCGCTTTTCAGAGACGACTTCCCACTGCAGCTCAGCTCTGCATGGCTCAGCACCTCAGGTTTTCCCTTCCACCTGGCCGAGAGCCAGCCTGGCCCTTCTCTGTGCTGACTCCCGCTTCTTCTCAGGTCTTTCTCGGCCATTCACAGATTTGCATTAGATGCTGTGCCTGTTATGTGAGGGGGTGCAGCAGCAGCAGCTGCGTGGCCTGGAGGGGAGCTGGGGGTGCTTTCTAAGGGACTCAGGGAGGAATCACAACCTCTGCTCTGGGCTTCCAGCTCTGCCTGTCCCCGTCCCCTGCCCCACCATCCCTGTGGGGGCACCGATGGACGCTGTCGGGGGTGAAGACCAGAGCACGTTCCTCTGTGCAGACAGGGGATGAGGGACGGACAGGGGGTCCCAGGATCCCTCTGAGAAATGGCCCCAGCAGCCATGCTTGTCTGAAGAAGCTCTTCCTCTGCCCCAGGAGAACATCCGTCCGCTACATCGGCTGCCTCGGTCAAGGCACAATCCAGCCGTCCTCTCAGCCAGCTGGAGAGTGGCATAGAGAGTTTTCATTCCTACGTGACCTCACCACCCTGGCCCCCATTCTCCGTGGAGCCCCGCAGCGGTGTCATCCCTCCTGGGGAATCCCAGTCCCTCGAAGTGAAATTCTGTCCCCAGGAGCTGGGGGAGTTTGAGGGCCGGCTGCTTGGCAGGTAACGGGAGGCTGCTGGGGCAAGGCCAGTGAAGGCCAGTGAAGGCCGCTCCGCTCGCGTGCTGCCGTGCCTCGCACCGGCGCGGCCAGGAGCGGCATGGCCTGGGGCGTGCAGCTCGGCCGGGGCGTGGCCGAGCACCTCTCCGACCGCATCGTGAGAGCGGGACCCTTTGCTCAGTGTGGCTTGTGCAAGTGCCACGTGGGCCGAGGTCGCATAAACCGAGCAGCCACGGTAGCTGCTCGCGTGGTCTGGGCCCAGCAGTGCGGCTTGTGCACCAGCGCGGCTGGGTTCCCACCGAAGGAAAAGCCTGCAAGCTGCTGCGGCTGACTGTGCGGTGCGAACCCAGCCTTTGCTTGATGCGCTCTTGCTCCGGCACCCGGGCCTTCTCTGAACACGTGGCAAACGCCGGTGGTAACGACAGTGGCAGAAACAGCTTTCCACGCTGCAGTCTCCGGTTGCGTCACTTGCTGAGAAGGCAGGTTGCAATTTGGCCTTTACATTTAAATCAAAGCTGCCACTATCAGGTGGCCGGGCAGGCAGAGGACTTGAGCTGTGGAGGATGCCCAGTACCGCTTTGGGCCTCACCGCCTCACTCAGTCGCATACCACAAGTCACTTTGCAGACCTTCTCCCGTGCCTCTCCCCCTTTCCCTCTGAGTTGCCAGGGGTCTCTCCACCCCATCCCCCAGTCTCACCCTGCCCAGGTCTCTCTGTTGCTCCTGTACGTCCCCTTGCCCCTTCACTCAGAATGCCCCGGCAGCAGCTTAGGCTCACAAACAAGCAAGGCAGCCTTCGTGGCGAGGTTGTGGTCCAGCAGGCATGACGCCAGAGAAGAGCAGGAGAAGAGGGTGGCGAGGAGAGGAAGCCAAGTGAGCGGTGCGTCTTCAAGGTTCAGGTGCTCCTGAGGGAGCCTGCCTGGGGCCAGGCGGTGCCTTGCCTTGGCTCCCCGACCCTGGCGGGGGCAGCGCACCCAGCCCTCCTTTCCCAGCATGCTTCCTAGGCAGGTGGGCCATGCAGTGGGGCCGCGAGGGAGTGGCCCCACTGAGACCCTTAGGGCCTGGAATGGAGAGGGACGGCATCCTGGCAGCCGCACCGGCAGCCCCACCATCCTGGACCTCCCGACCCTGGATGAAGTCTGTCCGAGGCTCTCCTGCAAGAGCCGGGCAGGCCTCCAGTGCTCTCCGGGGCTCCGGAAGGAGCAGCTTGTGGGCCCAGGGCAGGGGCCTGTGCCAGCCAAGTGCCCCTGCCCTGAAGTTCCTGTGTGCTCCATAGCTGTCCGCAGGGGTGCACGGGGGCAATGGGGCAGCTGGTGGCTGGCAGAGGCAAAGCTGGGGCTGCTGGCTGTGCAGCCGCCTTCAAAGAAGGGCAGTGGCAGAGACGAGAAGGCGCTCCGCATTCGGAGAAGAGGGCTGCACCGTGCGTGCCATGGGTGCTCACTCTTGGCACTGGCCTTTTCCTTCCAGCATCTCTAACCTGCAGCCGGAGGCGGGGGGGCCCGTGGTGGCCGTGAAGGGGAAGAGCCTCCTGCCCTACTGCCACTTCGATCTGGAGGACTCGGACTACATTACGGCAAAAAGGCGCGACCCAGACTGGCGAGGCCCCAGCGGGATGAGCCTGGACCCCAACACAAAAGTCATCGAATTTTCCTCCGTGGGAGTGCGCATCAGAAACACCCGGTCAGCATCACCCACGGGATGCCCGTTGAAAATGGCCTCAGGCGTGGGAGCCGGCAGTTCGGGCTTCCCCTGCCAGAACATCCATGCTGGGCTGGGCTCCCCCGGGCAGGGAGAGAGACGGTCCCTCTTTGGGTTGGGCTGGTCAGGCTTGCTGGCCTTCTGTGCCCTCTGATCCTGTGGGTCTGCCCCCTCTTGTTTGTACACCGCATGCCAGCCATGGAAAGGCTCACTTCCCGGGCCCTTGATTACCAGATGTCTTTCTGCCATCACTCATCCCGGGATTGCTCAGGATCACGTTTCATGAATTGGATCAACTGGATGGGCATCCTAGTGAACCTGCCAGCCTTGACGTGTCCCAATGCCCTGTTGGCAAAATAGAGCTGCTTGATAGATAGGCAGGCGGGTAACCAGCTTAATGTTTTGCACCAGTCAGCAGCACTCCTGCTTATGGAGCACCCTTTCCTTTCTCCTGGCAGGAGCTTTGCCATCTTGAACCCCACCAACACCCCATACACTTTCCAGTGGAGCTGTGACCAGCAGGAGGAGGGGCAAGAGCAGCCAGCCTTCATCTGCTTCACGGAGCGGGGACAGCTCCGTCCAGAGAAATCTGTGGAGGTGTGTGGGGAGAGGAACCGCCCAGCTGCAGTCACGGCCTCCACAGATGTTGGTCCGGCCTCTGCCCTGATCAGAATAGCTCTGCACTGTCACTGTGGTTGTGATGCGCTGTCGAGTCATCTCCGATCTGTGGTGGTGCCATGCTCAAGAGCCCACAACAGCCCCGGTCAGCTCTCCAAGCTCAAGGCCATTGCTTTCCCTTGAGTCCATCCATCTCATGCTCGGTCTTCCTCCTGTTCTTTGGCCTTCCGCTTTCCCCAGCATGATTCTCTTCTCCGGGGAGTTTTGCCTTCTCATGATGTGCCCACACCTGGACAGCCTCAGGTCTGCCATTCCTGTTTCTAGGGAAGGCCCTGGCTTGACTTGATCTGGGACCACTTGGCCATCTTGCTGCTGACTCAGGGTATCCGCAAAACTGCCCTCCAGCACCGTGCTCCGGTTTCCTCCCTGCCGGCTCTCGTCACTGTCTGGGTTTCACACTCGTACACTGTGACTGGATGATCTTGACCTTGGTCTCCAGCAAACCATCCGTACACTGGGCGATCTTGTCTAGCTCCTTCATTGCCGCCCTTCCAGGTCTCAGCCTCCTTCAGATTTCTTGGCTGTGATCTCCCTTTGAATCAAAGACTGAGCCAAGGTATGGGAAATCTTTCACAATTTCGATTTCTTCCGTATTAACAGTAAAGTTCTATAAATCTTCTGTAGACATAATTTACGTTTTCTTAATATTTCACTGCAGTCCCGCTTCTGTGCTTCCTTCTTTCACTTTTATGAGGAGCATTTCAGATCAGGGTATCATCTGCATATCTTAAATCAGTGGTGTTTCTTCTGCCTGTTTTGACTCCTTCCTCTGATCCTAGTCCAGCTTTCCTTCTGATACTTTCTGTGTTCAGAGTGAGCAGAGAAGGAGATAAAAGGCACCTTGATCCGACACCTTTACCTATGGGAAACCGTACTGTTCCTCTGTATTCTGTCCCAGCCACAGCTTCTTGTCCATACTTCAGCTTATGCATCAGGGCAGTCTGAGCTCTCCGGACTAGCCATTGCTTCTCATGATCCACACAGTCAAAGGCTTTGCTGTAGTCTATAAAGCATTGACCAAACTTTTCTGAAATTCTTCAGTGTGCTCCAGTAGCCAAGACATAGTTCTGATATCCCTGGTGCTACTTCCTTTTTGGAATCCAGCTCAAGCATCAGACATTTCTTGTTTCATACGGGGTAGTATTCTTTGTTGGGCAGTAACACTAGAGACAAGATGAACCAGTAAACAAGGAAAAAATTTAAAGATCATTTTATCCATAAAAGGTAAAGGTAAAGGTTTCCCCTTGACAGTAAAGTCCAGTCATGCCTGACTCTAGGGGGTGGTGCTCATCTCTGTTTCCTAGCCAAGGGAGCCAGCGTTTGTCCACAGTCTCTGTGGTCATGTGGCCAACATGACTAGACACCGACTAGACTAGAAACCCAATATTTATTTTGGGTTTTCAAAAGCCTCCTTAGTGACAACTGAGTGTAGGCTGCTGCAAGTCTCTGAAGGACACAGTTCTCACTGCAGATGCCACCTGGTGCCAGGCAATGCAAGGCATTTACAATACAGTGGTACCTTGGCCACATGACCTGGAATCTGTTCCAGGACTCTGATTGTGACCCAAATAGATTGCAGGGCCAGCAATCTCTTTGTCTTTGTAGGTCATATTTGAATTCATCCCCCGGCACCTGGGCATCACAGAATCCTTCTGGAGCTTCACAATCCCTGAGCACAACATCTGTGTTCCCTTCCTCTTGGTGGGACACACCACTGACCCGGCCGTGTCGCTGGACAGGCCCCACCTGAACTTCCGCTCCCTCTTGGTCGGTAAGGTTGGCCGCCAGAGGCAGCCCCAGCTTTGTGCTTCCGCCCTTTTGGGAACGCAAGCGGCTTTGTTCGCGGGTGGTCCTTGGGTGGCACCGATCATGAAGCCGAGTGTGGGAAAGAGCTGCTTGGGGAGGGCAGAGGTCATGCGGGCGGCACGGGAGCAGGTCTGCTGGAAGGAGTGGAGGCCACGTGAGCTACCTAATCCCGCTGGTGCTCTAGGATGCCCACGGGAACTGAAAGGCTGCTTCTGGCATTCCGCCGCGCTTAAAGAGTGAGCAGCTGTAGGACAGGACTGTTAATCATTATAAGCACTGTGGCGAGCTGTGCTGGGTCCCGGAATTGAGCGGAATACAAATCCAGTCCATCTCCATGATAGTTCCCAGACGTGTGGCCCGGTCTGCCCGGAAAACAAACAAGACCTCTAGAAACTATCCCAGGGAAAGTCGGCGCATTCTCCAGTGAGCTGGTCTTTTCTGTTCCTCCTCCTCACACCAGGGCATGAAGTCAGCGACAGTATTGACATTATCAATGATGAGAAAGAGGCCTACAGTTTTGCTTTCCGAGAGAGCTCCCGTTTTTCAGAGGGGCGAATCAACTGTCTGAAACTGCAGCCCATGGAAGGCTCTATCCCAGCCCATTCCAGGTAAAGGAGGCCGTGAAGGTGGGTGCCCAGGCGTGGAGCCACGCTCTTGGGATTTAGGTGTCCAAACGCATGCCAGGTGTTCCAGCACTACGCACATCTTGCCCCGGGAGAACTGGCTGTTGCCTTTCGCCCATGGCTCTCACGATCCTGCAGCATCACTGCGGGAAAGTTGCCCTCCTCGTGCCTTCCATTCCGGTTCCCATGTGCCCTTGATAAAGGCCTACATCACCTACGTGTTTGGACAGTGGACACTGGGTTGCAGCACAGGCCTAGCCTGGAGAGCGTGGATCATGTGGGCTCCTGGGGGACAGTTGCTAGGCAAAAAGCCCCCGCAAGGAGCAGTTGTGAAGGCAGCTCACAGAAGTCCCCTCTGCGTTGTGCTCGCTTCTCAAGAGACCACTGTCTGGTTCTGCCGTGCTGGCTCCTGCTGCGCGGAGCAGGCGAGTGCTTCATCCGGGAGGTGACCCCCAGTCCAGGGAGTTCACCTGGCATTGAAGTTCCCCCAGGGCAGAAGAGGGGCCTCCTCTCCCACTGAGTTCTCGGAGGATTCAGGACCAGAGGAGATGATGGCCATTTCCCCCGAAGTTTGCAAGCACTTGGCATCCTGCGGGATCTAGCAGGCTTCCTCCGCACGGCCCAGTGCAGCCAACAAGCCTGTTTTCTCCCCAGGCTGCCTATTAGCATTTCCTTCATGCCAACCTTGGAAGGGGAAGTCAACTTTAATTTGATCTGCGACGTCAAGAAGAAAAGCCAGCCGCTCTGCCTGAACGTCAAGGCGACAGGCCACGCCATGAACGTCTCTGTCAAGTGCAAGCAAAGGAACGGCACACTTGTCGAGCTGGACCCCGACCAAGCCAACCAGCTGCCTTTCCATGAGGTGAGGGAGCCGGGAGCCCGGGGCATGTTGCTCCAGCAGGAGCTGCCCAGAGCCCCCTCGCTCTTGTGCAGCAGCCCACCTCCATCCTGCGGGGACTGTAGGTCAAAGAGCTCCCCCGGCTGGGGCCACCCCCAAGCAGAAGTTCCCTATGCTGAACCCCGAGGGGCTGCTGGTGAGTGTGTCCGTGGGGAAGGTGGATGTGAAATAAACAACATAAAAATATGAAATGAAATGACGCAGGTGCAAAGTGTGTGTGTGGGAAGGGATTCCTCCCTCGGAGATGGTACTTGAGTGCCTCTGGTCACAATCCCGGGAAGCTCCTTCAGGGGGCTTGTTGTGCTGCTCCGAAGCAGCCCAGAGCTCGGCTCACGCCCTCAACAACGCTGTGTATGCGCATTCAGATGAGCTCAGAGCGGCTTGGCTTGCTTCCTTGTGAGCAGGGCTGGAGATTTGCTTCCAGCAGTCCCTCTACAGTATCAGGACTGCTCCCTGTCTTTGCTCCGGTCAGATGCAAGTCAACGATCATGCACAATGTCATTTTTACATCCTGAACTCGGGCAAGTTCAACTTCACCTTCTCGTGGGAGTTTCACAATGCCAAAAGACTGCAGAGCTACTTTTCACTCTCCCCAAATACTGGCACTGTGGAACCAGGAGAGCGGGCAGAGGTCGTGCTGTCTTTTCATCCCTTGAAGGCGTGCACCTTAAAGGGTGACCTCAAACTACAGGTAAGGAAAATTTGAGGTGTTTTTTCTTTTATTCCTCTCCCTGCCACCCCCCCCCCCCCAATAACAACTAGCTGCCTTGGGAGGGCTTCTGCCTTGAAAGGTGGCCTAGAAATATTTAAAATGTATTAATGATAGTGATCATAATCCTAGACAATCTTCCAGGGCAGAAGCCCTCCCTAAGCAGCTGCTTCCTTTGAAACCAAGAAGGTTTCTTAGTCCTGCAAGCACCACCCCAAGATTCTGACTTGTCTGGAATCAGGAACAAGCAGGACTAGGAATGGAGAAATATCGGATGTTGGAGCTCCTTGAAGGTCTTCTACAGAGCTAATTTTGCCCCTTTGCATCCCTGGGGGAAAACACATTTTTCCCATGGGTGCTCAGGTGGGCTTGGGAGGGATTTGCCCCATGTACACTTTCTCCAAAATTGCGCTCCTTCCAGAGCCTGCATTGGGGTTGCGAACAGGAGAAGTCTGCATGCTTTGCAGGAGGAATGAAATCTGCGCGCTTTCCTAGGCAGGGCTGGTTGCACTTCGCCCGGCTGAAGTTCCTCTGGCCAAGGGAGAACTGCTCCTGGTGTGTAGGAGCTCCAGCCTGGCACTGGGGATATTTTGCACGGAGTTACTGTGTGTGATGCGCAGATGTGAATATATCCAAGAGTCAGGCGTGTTCCTGGCCGCCCTTTGCTCCCTGATGTCTTGGTGCTGGCAGCGCTTAGGGCTGGCTTTGTCCAGCGGAGGCTGATAGAGCCGCTGTGCCCATTTCTGGTGACAGCTCTGGTCACATGTACTGAGCGATCCTCACGATCAGACCCATTGCCCAGCTTAGTCAACCCCATGAGCAGAGCTCAGCGGCAGCAGAACTACCAACACACGACGATGCCAGTGCAACAGCTGCAACAGGGATGCCAAAATCTGCCGCTTAAAAGCCAAGCATTCCCAGAGCAGTCGGATATTTTTAAGAGCCAGCTGCAGCCAAGGATCCTGGAGGGCTGCCAAGCAGGTAAAACGAGGCTGCGCTTCCCTCTCTTCCAGATCAGCCATGGCCCGGTGTTCACCTGTGAGCTGCAGGGCTCTGTGGTCACTCCCAGCATCCATTTCTCCTTCACCAAAGTCGACTTCGGCAACTGCTTCATCTACCAGGTCGGGATGCCCATCTCCAGGCGAATCCTTACGATCACAAACAAGGATGAAAAGCAGATCAGGTACGCCGGCGTGATGTCTGCCAGGACAGTCCGGCAGCCCCAGGCATCCTTGCTGGTTAAGACGGTGCTTGGCAGTCCTTCCAAAGAAGTGAGGTGGATGAAATGGCTGCTGCACACGTGAAGGACGTTTGCCATCTGTGCTGGCAGGGCCGGGAGGGAGGGAGGGAGGGAGAGCACTCTGTGCTAACGAATGGAATACAAAAGCCTAAATGAACAAGGTGGAGCTGGGCTCATCCCCGGCCTCCCCCCACCTCGCCAACAGGAACACAAGCTACTTTTCCAGCTGGGTTTGAGCCTCACAGTTCAAGCTGCTGGAAAGTGGCTCGGTGTCTTCATGAACCCCCTTTTGGGCATGACTCCTGGATCACCACCCAGAAGGTGCTGTCATTGCCAGCCGGATCTCTCCGCCTAGAGCATGCTCGGGCCGATCCCGTGCCAAGGCCTGGGAAGCCGGACGGTGGCAGGAGGCTGGGAAGGTCAGTCACAGCCTCTTCCGGCCTCTTCGCAGCCTGGAGTGCTTGTTCACCAGCACGACTCACCTCGAGACTGGTTTCCACGCTAAAGTGCTAAGTCCTGGAGGAAAGGCTGATATTCCTATCAGCTTCTACCCCCGAGAGACCATCCTCTACCACGACATCATCACCTTTGAAATCAACGGGCTCTTGCAGCGGAACGTTGAGGTCTTTGGGAAGGGCATTGAGTTGAAGGTGAGGCGGAATTCAGACCTCCACTACACTCCTGTGCTTCCCACTTCTGCGCCCTTTGCACCTGCTGCTCAAGGGCGGCCTTTCTTGGACCAGCCGGGAGGTTCTCCTAGGCGTAGCCCCTTCTGAACCCACCTGGCTGTTTTGGCCTTGGGAGGAGGGCTGGGGGAGAGAGGAAGCAGCGCTCCCATTTTCCAGGCCAGAGGAACTCTCCATCCTTCAGGTGGGAATTGAGGACAGTGGGAGATGAGCAGAGAACTGAGGGAGGAGCCGCAGCCCCTTCTGGGCAGGCCAGATGTTACGAAGGCACACGCCTGTTGTGCTTTCCCTGCTCTCAGAGCTGCCGCTCCTGTCAGCCGAACAAAATGTTGGCATCCTGGTCTGTTTTCCCAGGTGGGGCTCTTTTGGAGCTGAGAGGGGCCATGCTGGAGCAAGGCAAAGGCTCGTCTCGACCAGCATCCTTTCCCCTCCAGGGGCATTTGGGAAGCCTGCTGGCCGGTGGGAGAGAAGCAGCCCCCCCCCCCGGGAACATAGGCAACCACCCCAGCTCCACCAAGTCCTGCCTGGCCAACCCTGACCAGCAGCGGCAGCTGGCCAGGGCGTCTGCCCCACTGCTTCCCACGGTGTCTTTTCCTTACTGGCAGATTGATGTGGTAGAGCCTCGCAACCGAGTACTGAAATTTGGAGCGGTCCCTTCAGGACATGTGGTGAAGAAGACTGCCACGATTGTCAACAACAGCGTTGCTTCTGTTACCTTCAGCCTCAGTTTTGTGTCCTCCATGCCAGAACTGCAGGAAACAAAGGTGAGGCTTCACATTGGGATGGACTTTCTCCTCTCCCACCAGCCAAGGGGCCCCTCACGTTGATCTGTAGTTCCCGACAGAGAAATGAAATCCATGGACGTGCAATGAGAGCATCTCTCACCTTTGCCTTCCTTCTGGAATGGTTAACTGATGTGGACTGAGGATGGTAATGCGACACAGATGCATACCCAGTTAAACATGTCATTAAAAATATTTTAAAAATCAAGATGGGCAGAAACAGAACAGAGAAGAGAGCTGACCGGCACCTCAAGGACGTGGAGGTGCATACCCCTTCCTGACCCTCCTGGGCACTGGGGGGAGATGGTGGGGCAGGAGTGGCCTGCACAGAAGGGCCCCCAAGGCAGCCGGGTGCCTGTGCCTGAGGAAGTGCCTGTGGAGTGTTCTGCATCCCTTTCACACACACTCGGATGGGAGGCAAAAGGCGAATGCCGTGGCAAAGCCATCCCTGGACTGGAAGCAGGAGTGGCCAGTCGCACACCAAAATCCTTTTGCCTGCCTCCCCCCCACCCCACCCCCCACATCTGGCTCTTGTGTTCCAGCTACAGAGACCATGGGAGAAATGCAACATGTCCCGGGGGGAGGGGAGTATTTTTACAGCCTCCTCCAGCTCCAGAAGGACAGCCTCTGACCTGAGTTGCCATGGCCCCCTGAAGTGGTCCAGAGACCCCAAACGCTGAGACTTTTGCCTCAGCCTTGTGCACGTGGAGGCCTGAAGCACGTCCGTGCCGTTGGACTGGGACGGTGCCACAGCGTCATCGTTGACTTTGGGGGGACACGCGGCGGGCTGGATCCAGGCTTCGTCATGCTTGCATTGGCCCGGCTGGGAATTACTTAGTGAGACAAGCTTGCCTGGTGGATTGCAGTGTGTTCATTCCAAGCATGGCAAAGTTGGGATCAGTTCCACATCCTGATGATGTTAATCAAATGCTCATGTCAAAACGTAAGACTCGCTTTGAGCACAATAGGCAGCGCAGCTGCACAGCAGGCAGGGCCATGGGCAAAAAGCTTCTCCGCGGTCAGCTGGGAGCTCCAGAAAGCCCCTGAAGCAGCGTCCGGGGCGGTCACTCACTGTAGCTCCCTGGGGTCCAGCCTGTGGTGGGTCAGCCCCTCCTTGCCGCAGGGCTGCTGAAGGCTCACGGCCTTGCTGCCAGCAGCTGGCCCGTGTGAGCCTGTTCTGGAGGGGAGCAGGCGGACGTTCGGCAATGCGGCGTGCTGCCCATCAAAGATGGACCTGTGCTTCCTCGGGGCAGGTCCTCACGCTGTCTCCATCCAGCGAGGTGACCCTGAGCGCCAAGGGAGGCACCTGCCATGTGGAGGTGGCGTTCGGCCCTAGGAGCCGCCTCCTGCCGTTCACGGAGGAAGTCCTGCTCAGCTGCCAGGGGACCCTGCGCACCCTCCTCGCCGTGCAGGGCTCCTGCCAGGGCATCGAGGTCAGCCTGGACCAGGACCACGTCCCCTTCGGCGCAGTGGTGCTGCGCAGCCAGGCCTCCCGGCGCATCACCCTGCAGAACACGGGGGACGTCGGCGTGGGGTAAGCAGCGTGGCACGCCCTCTCCGGCACGATCCCAGCTGCACGGCCATGCAGTGACTGGGTATCGTGGCTTTGTTGAGAGTGGGGCTATTACATTTGAAAGGCCTGACAAATCGGGACGGAACGTGAATCCCTTCCCTTCCCTTCCCTTCCCTTCCCTTCCCTTCCCTTCCCTTCCCTTCCCTTCCCTTCCAG